TAATCTAAGCATTCCTCATCCAAACATACAAATGATGCACAACTGAAGTCTCCTCCCTCATCCCTGTAAATAAATCAAAATGACAAAGAGAGAAAAAAAAAGAGCTAAGATTATAAACATAAAAAATTAGGTGGAAGAGAAATTTGACAATTGGTCCATATTTCCATAGAAAACTTGTAAAATGAGCATAAAAAGACCATCGAGAACCTGCAAATTTTCAACAACAAAAAAACATATGACTCACATAGAAAACCTGCAAAAGAAAAACTTATAAATCTGCAAGCTTCCTCCTCATCTCCTGATAACCAAACCAGAAAATCTAAAAAGAAACCAGAAATATAAAAAAATATGTAAACAAACCAAATAAATCAAGAGAGACAAAATCTGAAATTAGGGAGACAAAGAACATACCAGAAACGCAAAGAGACTAATTCAGAATTCACTAGCAAGATATAGAAGGGTATTAAGAGATTAGGTGACTTTCAAATCAAACCTTTCAACCAGCTTTGATTGTCAAATACAGAACATCCCTCTACATCTTATGGATCTGCAAAGACCTCAATCTCTCAACTCCTTCATTGATATCGATTTTTTGATGATTTTGTAGAGAGTTTCATGAGGGTGTTTTAGAGAGTGCAGGAGGGTTTCACGGAGGGAGAGATAAGGTTTTCAGAGATGGGGGAAAATCTGAAAATTTGTCGAGCGCGAATTCACTTAAGTAGCATTTTTTTAGCGTGCTTTAAAAGACGACGCTTGTTAATGAGAGATAATATTTTCAAAGACGGATGAAAATTTGAAAATTTATCGAGCGCAAATTCACTTAAGCGGCCATTTTTTAGCGTGTTTTAAAAGACGACGCTTTTTTTTTATATAAAAAAATTGTCATATTTACATATAATAGACGACGGTTTTTATAAAAAAAAGTCATCTTTACATATAATAGACGACGACTTTTTTTTATAAAAAACGTCATCTTTACATATAATAGACGACGGTTTTTTATATATAAAAAGCGTCATCTTTACATATAATAGACGACTTTTTTTTATTATAAAAATCGTCATCTTTACCTATAATAGACGACCTTTTTTTTATATAAAAAATGTCGTTAATTATCTGTAAAAACCATGATTTATTATAAAAATCGTCGTCTAATAAGTTTCCAAACTGCTACATTTTAGTTCTTTTTGATTTCCTATGATGCTATACAACGATTTTAACTAGAAAACCAACCATAATGCTTTATTAATGAATATATACACTCAAAAATAATTTTTTTTTCATAAAACTTGAAGATTCAATAGTTATTACATAGTTAACCAATCTTTATTCTACAACAAACATAATTCCTAACAAGACCTACGTACTCATAATCCAAGCATTCCTCATCCAAACATACAAATGATGCACAACTGAAGTCTCCTCCCTCATCCCTGTAAATAAATCAAAATGACAAAGAGAGAAAAAAAAAGAGCTAAGATTATAAACATAAAAAATTAGGTGGAAGAGAAATTTGACAATTGGTCCATATTTCCATAGAAAACTTGTAAAATGAGCATAAAAAGACCATCGAGAACCTGCAAATTTTCAACAACAAAAAAACATACGACTCACATAGAAAACCTGCAAAAGAAAAAGTTATAAATTTGCAAGCTTCCTCCTCATCTCCTGATAACCAAATCAGAAAATCTAAAAAGAAACCAGAAATATAAAAAAAATATGTAAACAAACCAAACAAATCAAGAGAGACAAAATCTGAAATTAGGGAGACAAAGAACATACTAAAAACGCAAAGAGACTAATCCAGAATTCACTAGCAAGATATAGAAGGGTATTAAGAGATTAAGTGACTTTCAAATCAAACCTTTCAACCAGCTTTGATTGTCAAATACAGAACATCCCTCTACATCTTATGGATCTGCGAAGACCTCAATCTCTCAACTCCTTCATTGATATCGATTTTTTGATGATTTTGTAGAGAGTTTCATGAGGGTGTTTTAGAGTGCATGAGGGTTTCAAGGAGGGAGAGATAAGGTTTTCAGAGACGGGGGAAAATTTGAAAATTTGTCGAGCGCAAATTCACTTAAGTTGCTTTTTTTTAGCGTATTTTAAAAGACGACGCTTGTTAATGAGAGATAATGTTTTCAAAGACGGGTGAAAATTTGAAAATTTGTCGAGCGCAAATTCACTTAAGCGGTCATTTTTTAGCGTGTTTTAAAAGACGACGCATTTTTTAAAAAAAAATTGTCATCTTTACATATAATAGACGACGGTTTTATAAAAAACGTCATCTTTATGTATAATAGACGACGGTTTGTATAAAAATCGTCATCTTTACATATAATAGACGACGGTTTTTTTATTATAAAAAGCGTCATCTTTACTTCATAATAGACGACCATTTTTTAAACAAACCATCATCTTTACATATAATAGACGACACTAGTGGATACCACAAAATCTTATGTTATATTTAACGAAAGTATAAATAAACTCTTAATTGTTAGTGAATATATTGTTTTGATGGCATACGCATTCTAAGAAACTACTTTCAACGATTCAACCGTCAAACTTGTTTATTTATACTTTGAGATCATATACACCAAAAATCGGAAAAAAATAAACATTCAGAGATAAGTAACGGGACAAAAAATTTCGACTGTTATAAATGAAAAATCATGTTTAACGGTTATTTTAACAAACCATCATCTTTACATATAATAGACGACCTTTTTTATTTATAAAAAGCGTCATTTTTACATATAATAGACGACCTTTTTTTAGAAAAAACGTCATCTTTATATATAATAGACGACCATTTTAAAAAAAAAACCGTCATCTTTCCTTCATAATAGACGACGATTTGTATAAAAAGCGTCATCTTTACATATAATAGACGACGGTTTGTATAAAAATCGTCATCTTTACCTATAATAGACAACGATTTTATAAAAAGCGTCATCTTTATTATAATAGACGACAGTTTTTATAAAAATCATCATATTTACATATAATAGAGGACGTTTTTTATAAAAATCGTCATATTTATATATAATAGACGACGGTTTTATAAAAAGCGTCATCTTTACATATAATAGACGACGGTTTGTATAAAAATCGTCATCTTTACATATAATAAATGACCTATTTGTAAAAAAAACTGTCATCTTTACTTCATAATAGACGACCCTTTTTTAAACAAATCACCATCTTTACATAAAATAGATGACCATTTTTAAAAAAAACCGTCATCTTTACTTCATAATAAACGACCCTTTTTAAAAAAAAAACCGTCGTCTTTATGTTAATTATGATAATGTAACATACACTTAATATGTTAATTATGTTGCGAGACTGTTAATCTAAACTTTTGTTAGATATACGTACGCATATTTACAACCTAATATGTCAAATATCTGGCAAATTAATTAAGATTAAGAGCCTTCTCTAATTAGATTTGAAATTTTGCAGGGAAGATGTGGCTGAGTATTGCAGGAATGTGAAAGGATTAGCAGAGAGACTTCTGGAAGCCATATTAGAAAGCTTAGGCTTAGAAAAGGATTACATGAACAGGGCATTGGGGAAGCATGGGCAGCACATGGCCATCAATTACTATCCGCCTTCACTACTACATTTTAGTCTTTGCGCGACGAAAGTGTTTTCGTCGCGCAAAAACGATTTTAGTCGCACAACATTATGCGCGACAGAATCTTCGTCGCGCGCAATCCGTCGCGCAAAGGTCGTGAAGAAAGCATTTGCGCGACGAACAAATGTCATTCGTCGCGCAGTTTGCGCTACGTATAACATCTTCGTTTCAAAAAACATTTCGGGACGACCTCATTGTCCGTCGCACAAATATTTGCGCGACGAAACAGAAGTCGTCGCAAAACAAACTGCGCGACGGAATTGTCCGTCGCGCGAACTGCATGAACCTTGCGCGACGACATCTTATTCATCGCGCATACACATCTTGCGCAACGAAATTACTCGTCGCGCAAGATTAA